GTGCTATCTTCAAAACCAGACATGTTTTCTTGATAAAGAAAGAAGGCCCCACGGTGGGTGCTAAACTGTTGATGATGGTTAACCAAACAGTCAAATATTTCGAGGTGAGATTGATGAGGAGCCTCTCACTTCTCTGAATATCTGGTTTTGAGTAGAGCAGCTTTCAGCCTGCACAAAGTAGAAACTCATGAGAGGACAGGGCTTGGTTCCCCCCGTTGTACCTCTGACGATTAAGTCAGCTTGTGAGCTTGAGTGGGGAAATGAAGAACTGTTAGAGTTCTTGTGTGTAGTGTAGTATAATTAGTAGATATTCAAGAGTCAAAAAGTCTCCAAAAAAAGTCTAGATCCTTTCAAAAGGAAGAATAGTACCTCCATTTATAGTGGTGATGGAAGGGTAGAATGGACACTTCGGCCGAGTACAAGATGGTAGTAAAAAAGTATGGGCTAGTGGCTACGTCAGCACCTACTTTACACGTGCCAGTAGACGAGTGGAGGAGAGATCACTTCACCATTAAATGAGAAGTGATCGGAGGCATGACGGTGCTGACGTGGTCCGTTGAGTCATGAAGACTATTGGGGCTAGAGGTATGATGCGCCTGCCAAGCATTAAATGTGATGCCGACGTACTGTCAGTGGTAGAGGTTCAAGGTTGATGTTGTCCTATGGCTTCGTCAAGAAGTAACGCCTTTTGAGTCGACCTCGTGAGGCGTCGAATAATTGGTCGAGTGGGCTCGTTGTGAGTTATTTTTGAAAAGAGGATCGACTAGTACCACCATTCGATTCGACATGAGGAGATGTCGAATCGACGGGTCGGATACGTCGAGATCCTTGGCTGTTTGACCATTAATTTGGCTTGAGTGTTGCATGAAAGGGGACACCTGTCTATTGCTAGCAAAGTGTCGTACTCTGATGACTAAAAACACCATAACAATAACAATATCCTATCACCTATAGATTTTAGTAACTATAATAATACCTTAACGGACACGGGTATGAATATATCCATGGATACAAATATTTTTGTGGGACCCCCAGTTTAAACTTAACTGGAAAGTTAGCGCTATTTATACGCAAATTACATTATTTACCACTAACCAGAAGGGGTTAAGTTTCTTGAAACCTAACTTTCATAAATCCCTCTAAATATTCTAAATTAGAGAGAAATAACATGAACTTCCAAATTATAGACAACTCATAGATTATAAATATCTAAACTATACTTATTCCTATCGATTAGTTGGTTGATGATTGCGACACATCTAGAGTGGAAAATAAGAATTGAGTGTACTACATAACATATAGGGTGTGAATTAGAGAGAATCACAATCATTCATTGAATCCACACTTGTAATCAAAGTAGGAAATAAGAATTGAGTGTACTACATAACATATAAGAATTGACTTCTCAACTATTTTTTGATAATAGGGAGGACAATTTTTTCGAGTAAATTGAAACAAGCTAATCAGCAGCTTTTCTAACGAAAAGAAATAGGCCCAGAATATACAGGTGATATCGATATCGACGGGAAGGATTCAACACTCTCTTCTCGGTTATCTATGGCCGAAAGTAGGTGATTGATGTAGGACACTTAATCTGAGTTGAAGTCTATTTAGATTAGGAAATATAGATTAAGAAATAAATTCAATTTTAGAGTCAAATTAGATGAGGAAACAAAATCAATTTTGATTCATGATTTGTTTTCTCTATTATAAGGAGTCTTTTTAGGATAGAATTTGATACTTTTTTTTGTAATTCTAGTCTTACTAGGAGTCTTATTTGATACTTTCTATTTTTGTAATTCTAGTCTTACTAGGAGTCTTATTTGTTTTTCTATTTAAGAAGAGTCATGTAATCCCAAAGGAGAATAACTTTTTATCAATAAAATTTATCTTTTCAATATTTATTTCGTGGATTCGAAGTTCTTCGTGGATTCGAAGATCGTTCTTTGTGGATTCAGAGAACACCCTTAGTGGATTCCGAGGTTATCATTTCTGTGTTGCGTCAATTGGTATCAGAGTCTTGTTCCTCTGATCCGATGACAGGTGATGAAGCCCCTATTTCTTGAAATGAGTTCGACGTGCTAACGGTCGATGTTAATCAGATGAAGACTATCATGGAGCGACTTGCGGCGGTAGTTGAGCGTCTGAACACGGCGTAAGTTCAAAATCACGTTGATGGTCGCCAACGATGTGATCTGACTTCACAAGATAAATTCTACAACAATGATCATAGAGGCTACCGAAGAAAGGAGAACTATGATGCTGGAGGATTAAAAATACCATCCTTCAATGGAAAGCTTCATGCTGAGGATTTCCTTGATTGGATTGATAAAGTGGATAAGTATTGGGAGTATAATATAATCCCAGAAGATTAGAAAGTTAAATTAGTGGTCTACAGGCTTAAAGAAAAAGCATCTGCATGGTAGGATGAAGTACTGATAAATCGATTCCATCAAGGAAAGGATCCGGTTCGAACGTGGGCAAAGATGAAGAAATTATTGAGAGATTGTTTCTTACCTTCTAACTACAAGCAATGACAGGTGTCTCTAGTGGCAAACAACAAGACGCTCACCCCCGGAAAGGAAGATTTTGCCACCATCAAGATTCATCCTGAGGTTCCTAATGTTGATGATGATATGTTAACGAAGATGAATATTCTACATGATATTGTAAGTGATGTTACCCATATTGATATTGTCCCGATGGAGGAGAAAGATAAAATAGAGAGTGAGACAATTGATGGTATGTATGCATTGCTTGGTGGAGAGCTTGAGATAAGGGAGATGAAAGAATTGTGTATAGAGTATGAGGAAGAAAATTATTTTTTTGAAGCAATAATCATCAATAATTTTAAAAATGGTGAGATGATACCGTCGACACTAGAATATGGGAAGCAATAAGAAAAATATTTGGAGGAGTTTTTCATGTCAACTACAAAGCCACATGCTGTCAGTTACATACACTTATCATGGAAAAGATTTATACACAAGTTTGATACAAAAGAAGTCCTAGCAGAGGATGTAAAAGAACAAATGGAGAAAATCAATACTAAATACAAGGCGGATGCTGATCATTGCAAGAGAAAAAAATTATTTATCAATGAAGCTACTATTCTAACAAATATAAACTCGGGTTCGAGCTTCTTTCAACAAGGGGAGACTGATGTAGGACGCTTAATCTGAGTTGGAGTCTATTTAGATTAGAAAATATAGGTTAGGAAATAAATTCAATTTTAGAGTCAAATTAGATTAGGAAACAAAATCAATTTTGATTCATGATTTGTTTCCTCTATTATAAGGAGTCTTTTTAGGATAGAATTTAACACTTTCTTTTTTTATAATTCTAGTCTCACTAGGAGTCTTTTTTGATACTTTCTATTTTTATAATTCTAGTCTTACTAGAAGTCTTATTTGTTTTTCTATTTAAGAAGAGTCATGTAATCCGAAAGAAGAATAACTTTTCATCAATAAAAATTTTCTTTTTAATATTTTCTTCGTGGATTCGAAGTTCTTCGTGGATTCGAAGATCGTTCTTTGTGGATTCAGAGAACACCCTTGGTGGATTCCGAGGCTATCACTTCCGCGCTGCGTCAGTGATGAAGTTGAAATTTACCTTTTGAACGTCTCTAATTCATTGAGCCGAGGAGTCTTGAGTTTCAAATTTTGACTAGGATATTATCTATTCTAATATTATATTATAGAGGAAAGAAAGAGAATATTTACATCTAAGCGAGCATATTCGGCATCCGATGCTATCTGACTTTTGACCATTAATAATTCATCCGCAACACTATAATCCTGATTAATTGGGTAAATGTAGACATTGAAATCATTTGCCTGACCTCTAATTCTGCGTTCGCACCTAACATAATCAAGTCAGAATGTCAAAGGCAATGGCCGAAAGATAATCCGGCAGCACGTGCATATTCATATGTCGCATTATTATGCTAAAGTGCTGAGTTATGAAGCCTATCATCACCTGCCAGCACTTCTTCTCTTCTACTACAGAGAAGGGATTTTTAACGCACAAAAAGACCTGATGATTAAACAGTCAAATATTTCGCTGAGGGGATTATCTATAACAATAGAACTACACAGGGTCTAAAAGTAAGTAAAGTATATGGGATTGTGGTCTATCATTATCAACATTTTTTATTTAAGATGAGGTCTATCACCAATTAACCCTTTTAAAAATGAACATTTGAAAGAGACTTTGGCTGAGACGAGCCGTTTTAAGATCTAATGTAGTTTGCAAGAACTATACCAAATCAGTACAGTATTCTAGGTGATAGACTTCCTAAAATGAGAGAACACCATTGTGTAGAATTGGACTTGCAGTGCTTTTTACTAAAACGAAAGGAAAAGAGAAGGAAAAGAAAAAGTAAAACGAAAGGGAGAGAAAATTATCATAACATAAGAAAAGGAAAGAGAAAGGGAGAGAAAGGGAAAAGGAAAGAGAAAGTAAAACGAAAGGAAAAGAAAAAGAAAAGAAAATGATATTCTTTCTATTGTTTGGTTAGAAAGAATATTGTAGTGAAAGTTAGAAGAAAATTCATATGAAAATTATTTTCTCTTGTTTGGTTACCTTTCTGAAAAAATGAGGAAGAAAATTATCATAACATAATTTTAATTCATACTTTTTAGAATTAGATTTAGATTTTAAACAAGTTACAAAAAATAATTAAATTAAATTGTGATTCTATCATATTTTTAAAAAATTTACAAGTTACTAAACATGTTTGCACAATCTTAACTCAAGAAAATTGAGTCAAATTTACGATGACATATCTTGGGAAGTAACAGGTTAATAAACATGTATTTAAAAAAATTGGCAATTTCCTAGCACAAAAACTTGAGTGGCCATCAACATCGAGTTTGTAAATATCAACAAGCAGAAGCATAACCATAATTCCACTAATTAAAGAACAACATTTCTCACACATAACATTTACAGAAAGAACGGTCATGAAAGAAGCAAAAGAAATCAAGTAAATGTCATGATATTCCTAATATAAAGTATAATCCATTTCTAGTCACAAAGTCTATTACAATCAATTTCATATAGAAAATCTTAACCAACAAAGTCTATTACAATCAATTTCATATAGAAGATCTTAACCAAAGAGAGAGAAAAACATGCCGAAGTCCTTGGTTTTTGACTAGTGAGCCCATCAAAACATAGATTCGCATCCTTCATCCCCTAAAATTAATTCAAAAAAAATTAATTCAATGAACCATGAACGGGAATTGGAAAAAGAAATCTCAAAGTAGTGGTAACATGAGGAAGTAACATGAGGAAGATGATCAGGTATACTTTCTGATTTTGTCCAGCTTCCTTCAAGCAGCTAGTATCTGTCAGAACAAGAAAGGACAGGCGGTTTGTGAGATGCTCGAGAAATCAACAAATATAACTTGATCCCAGGGAAAAAAATACATGATACAAAGTAAACCAAATAATAACACAGAGACCAACACGCCCATTAGATAATAGCGGTTGGGATAAAGAGTACCATTAAAGCACTTACGCCAAGAGCAACATCTTCCAAATATAGTTGTATGATAAAATTTTGACAGCAGAAAGGCTGTTGAGAAGGCTAAGGCTAAAACAACACAAGGCATAAGCAGCTTACATAGATTACGCTGATATAAGGCATTACACAATGCTGAATAAGGATATCTTAGGATGTAAAACTCTTTCACTTTTTGATGCATCCAAAGAGGTCAGAAACAAAGGCAAATGGCGCATGTTGACTACATACTTAATTCAACTTCTGGGGAAACTTAGTAAAATGCATGGATATACACATTAAACTTAGTAAAACGCCTGGATATACACATGCAAACACATACTAGCATATTCTTTGACTGTTATAATAGCAGAAGATGCACAAAATTGAAGGTTAGAATACGCACACATGCACACACGTAAAGATAGAGAAAGAGGTATGCAGGGGATTAAACCAACAGCCCTGTCTTTCCCATAAATAATTTGCAAGTTTTCAAAACACAGTACAGGTTTGTAACGAAATTGTTTTGCTCCAGGATGTGCCTATTAATAGATAAAGAATCAACTTCCACCATTTATAAGTCTTCTCAAGGGCACAAAGAAAATACAAAATAGTCAAACTAATATAACAACTAGTCAAAGAACCAATGAGAATAGGAAAAGAGAGAAAATTGGGTCTGATCCTTACAAATAGTCTAATAGCTATTTCATCACAACCAAAATAGAAGTCTAGATGAATTTTTCAATCCATGTCCAACTCAGCCAAAGCTGGAAGTGTCATGACATACAAGACGTACTTAGATTCTCAATTGTTCAAGAAACTGATGCAGGTTTGACCTATGGGAAGAAGCATGTACTGGAAAGGCCATTACTTTTACTTTTATCAGTGCCGTTAATTTATCTAGTGGGCAATTTTCATTCCTTCTAAATCTAACACTCGTCGATCATGTCCATTATCAATTGGGCTCATTTTTAATTTTCACTCAAAGACTAATTGCAAGCATCCAATAAATAAGATGACGGTTTCGATCAAAGTACTAGTCTATTCACTGTTTTTGTTAATAAATTTAGAGAGCTTATAAATATTAGCCAGAAGGCCGGAAATTAATAGCAAATGTTCTGTTCCTCTTTTTTTTTTCTCGGGCGTGAAGGCTAGTATCCAAATAAGGAAAGCGAAGCAGGCACAAAAGCATAAGACTCAGCTGTTCCCTCTCACTCTAGACAGGCATGACATCTAAACCAAAGAAAACAAAAACTAGAAAAGACTCATTTATCTCCTAACTCCACCTGCTCTGGTGAGGAACAGAGGACGAATACAAGTGTTTGTTATATGGCGTGGTCCTTAATGCTCTTTGGTAGCATGAAAGTCACCCTCCTTAATTAATTACTCTCTGCTTCTGTTCTTTTTAAGTCTCATGAAAGTCACCCTCCTTAAATCCATCCAAAAGAAAATTAGCATAAGAATATAGCATTAGCAGGATGAATATAAACCTGAAAACATTTGTAAATGGAGTATATCCTCCAAACACTTGCATTAGCATAAGAATATAGCATTAGCAGGATGAATATAAAAACTATTTGTCAACATATCCGCAGATACATGAATATAAAAACCGACGACAGACAGGCTATCTCCTGTGCCTAACAGCAGATACATGAATTATATGTTGCTGATAAATGGAGGAGAGTCTGAAAGCTTTGATGAAGCTTGTCAGAGTGGAGATGCGAGCAAGTGGGAGTTTGCTGCGAAAGAAGAGATGAAATCTCTGATCTCTAACCAGTCATGGGGACTAGCTGAGTTTCTCATGGGGAAGAAGGCACGTCACAACAAGTGGGTGTATCGAGTGAAAAAGGAGCAGAATGGTTCCAGAAGATACAGAGCCCGACGAGTTGTCAAAGGATTTCAACAGATTATCCAAGGAAGAAAGGATCCAGCGGATATGTTGACAAAGGCAGCGACCTTTCAGAAACTGAAGTTGTGTGCAACTTCAGTTGGCCCTCATGCATAGATGATGAGGGCGGAGCCACACAGGAGAGGAGCTTGATGGGATAGCCTGTCTGTCGTCGGTTTGGTCTCCAAGTGGGAGATTGTTAGGTTGGGGGTGGATACTAACCTCCGACGGCGGAGGAGCTCCGACGAGCTCAAGGAAGACGCAGACGAGCGTGGCGAAGTCGGCGGCGACCCCCCCAGGCGAGCTAGCTCCGACGAGCTCAAGGAAGACGCAGACGAGCGTGGCGAAGTCGGCGGCGACCCCCCCAGGCGAGCTCGAGCTTGACGAACGCGATGGTGGTTTGGGTCGAACGCGATCCTCGTTGGCGAACGCGACCCTCGTTGGCGAACGCGACCCTCGTGTTTGTTTGAGGAATCTCAGTTTAGAGATTTGCTCTTGATTTGTAATTTCTTGTTAGATTAAATAAGAAATTAACTGTGTGGCTCCCGAGGACGTAGGCAGTTGCCGAACCTCGTTAAATCTTGGTGTATTTTTTCTATACTGCGTTTCTGTTGCATTAGGGGTTTAGGCGTTTAAATTCCCAACAACTGGTATCAGAGCGTGAAACGATCTAGAGGAAGTCAGATTCAAGTGGGAGCCATGGCCGCAGATGAAGGGAAAATAAGACTTGAGAAATTTGATGGAACAGATTTTGGATTCTGGAAAATGCAGATAGAGGATTATCTGTATCAGAAAAATCTGTATCAACCTCTCTCGGGGAAGAAGCCGGAGGGTATGAAGGAAGAAGATTGGAATCTTCTAGACAGAAAAGCCCTCGGAGTTATCAGATTGACATTAACTCGCAATATTGCGTTCAACATAGCGAAGGAGAAGACCCCGGCGGGTCTTGTGGCAGCACTCTCAAATATGTATGAGAAGCCATCAGCCTCAAATAAAGTTCATTTAATGAGGCGGTTGTTCAATCTGCGAATGGCGGAAGGTGCATCGGTAGCACATCATCTCAATGAACTCAATACAGTCACGACCCAATTGAGTTCAGTTGACATTGAGTTTGATGAGGAAATTCGGGCGTTGATACTTTTGTCTTCCCTACCAGAGAGTTGGAAAGCTACAGTCACGACAGTGAGTAGCTCATCGGGAAAGAAAAGGTTGAAGTTTGACGACGTTCGTGATCTGGTTCTCAGTGAGGAGATCCGACGGAGAGAGTCGGGTGAAGCTACAACCTCTTCAGTATTGCATACAGAGTCAAGAGGTAGAAGTTCAACCAGAGAAAATGGATCAGATGATAGGAGATCCAAATCCAAAAATCCCAACAGTTCGAAGGCTATCGAGTGTTGGAAGTGCGGGAAAACCGGGCACTACAAGAATCAGTGCAGGAGTGCACGGGAGGAGTGGGAGGCAAATGCAGATGTGAATGTTGCCTCCACCTCAGGAGGAGATGATGCGCTGATATGCTCTTTGGAGAGCAAGGAGGAGTCTTGGGTGTTGGACTCGGGAGCATCATTCCATGCTACTTCTCAGAAAGAATTCCTCGAGAAGTATATCCCCGGAAACCTTGGAAATGTATATCTTGGTGACGATCAAGCATGTGCCATTATTGGCAAAGGTGTAGTGAAGATTAAGCTGAATGGGTCAGTATGGGAGCTGAAGGATGTCAGGTATATTCCCGACCTGAAGAGGAACTTAATCTCAGTAAGCCAGCTGGCTAGTGGATGACTGGAGGATTTCGAAGGGCGCAATGACGATTGCCAGAGGTAGGAAGACTGGTACCCTGTATATGACAGCAGGTGCACGTTGTTCGATCTCAGTTGCGGCAGGCAATGAGACTTCAAAGCTGTGGCACCAGAGACTCGGTCATATGAGTGAAAAGGGGATGAAGGTTATGCACACAAAGAGAAAACTCCCAGGTTTACAATCAGTAGAGATTGATGTGTGTGAAGAATGCATACTTGGAAAGCAGAAGAGAGTTAGCTTTCAGGCAAGTAGCAGACCCCCCAGGAAGCAGAAGCTAGAGCTTGTTCACTCGGATGTTTGGGGACCAACAACCACCGCGTCGATTGGTGGGAAACACTACTTCGTGACTTTTATTGATGATCACTCTCGGAAAGTATGGGTCTACTTTCTGAAGAAAAAGTCAGAAGTGTTTGAGGCTTTCAGAAGATGGAAAGCCATGGTCGAGAATGAGACCGGTTTGAGGGTAAAGAAACTCAGAACAGACAATGGTGGTGAGTATGAAGACACCAGATTCAAGAAGTTCTGCTATGAGCACGGTATCAGAATGGAGAGGACCGTGCCCGGCACGCCTCAGCACAATGGTGTGGCTGAGCGCATGAATAGAACGTTGACAGAGAGAGCCAGAAGCATTCGGATGCAGTCAGGTCTACCGAAGCAGTTCTGGGCAGAAGCAGTCAACACAGCAGCTTACTTGATCAACCGAGGTCCATCGGTTCCATTGGAGCACAGAATACCAGAAGAGGTATGGTGCGGAAAGGAGGTAACCCTCTCACATCTCAAAGTTTTCGGTTGTGTAGCTTATGTGCATATAAGTGATCAAGGCAGGAATGAGCCTGATCCCAAGTCTAAGAAATGCACATTCATCGGGTATGGTGAAGACGAGTTCGGCTACCGTATTTGGGACAACAAAAATAAGAAGGTGATCAGGTGCAGAGATGTGACATTCAACGAGAAGGTGATGTACAAGGACATGCACAAGACAGATGACGGTGACTCAGAGAGTGAGTCAACATTTGTAGATGCAGATGATGTCCCAGATAACCTCTCTGAAGAACCCAATGCAGAAGGTCCTCAGCCAGAAGAGCCTGTTGGACAGAACGGTGCGCAGGAGCCCGACGCACCAGCTCCGATATTGAGGAGAACTACTCGTCCTCCTGTGCCTAACAGCAGATACATG